AGGATCCCTGGAGGTTCCAGACTCCATTCCCTATAAACCCCAGGCCTCGTGGGCACCAATGCTGATATTCCCCCTGAGTTCGGAGTTGGTTCACTACCTGTTGCAAATGACTTGCTGATAACACTTGCTATACTTACCAAGGTATGACCATTGATGAGAAAATCAGCCTTCCTTTGTGACCTTTACCTTCAATTTGTGGATGTTTGTCTTTGGAGGTTTCATATTCTTTTTCTTGAGAGGTTTTGCAGCTTCAATCATTATGCACCTACTTAAAATCAGAGAAAATTATCCAGACGGAACTGGTTGTTACCAACATTTTGACATTATGCATATTACCACTCTTCCTCCTATACAGACTCAATAGACCAGAAAAGCAAAATTGAAGAAAAAGTCTTTTATACATCTGAATAGCTGAAAGTCAGTGGAGAGTGAGCCTGCTCATAGGTAGGGCAAAAGCAACCCGGACAGGAGGGATCCAGAAGGCACGGGTGTTGGACAGCGGCACAGAAACGCAGGTGGCAGGAGAGCGAGGGGAAGACTCGCAAGTGAAGGCTGTACCCACGGGAACACGTGTGTTTGTGAGGATTGTGAGCGTGGATCTGAGTGACATGGGGACCCACTGAAGCAGTTTTTAAATCCTCACCTGAGGCTATGTTTATTGATTTTAGAGAGAGGCGGTGGAGAGAGAGAGAGAGAGAGAGAGAGAGAGAGAGAGAGAGAGAGAGATCTATCAGTTGCCTCCCATATGTATCCCAACAGGGGATCAAACCTACAGTTTTTTGGTGTTTGGGATAATGCTCCAATCACCTGAGCCACCTGGCCTGGACTGAAGCAATGCTTTAAATTGAGGTTATTCTCACATAATTTTAAAATTTTACCATGATTAATTCAGTGACATGTTTTACATTACAACTACTCTGGATGATTTCCTATACATGAAGCTCTACAATGAGTAGCTGTGTGTGACTGGTTTCTTTCACTTTGTAGACTGCTTTTCAGGTTCAATCTCTTTTTAAAAAAAAAAGATTGTATTTATTTATTTTTAGAGAGGGAAGGGAGGGAGAAAGAGAGAGAGAGAGAGAGAGAAACATCAATGTGCGGTTGCTAGGGGACATGGCCTGCAACCCAGGCATGTACCCTGGCTGGGAATCGAACCTGCGACACTTTGGTTCGCAGCCCGCGCTCAATCCACTGAGCTATGCCAGCCAGGGTTTGAGGTTCAACCTCTTAATGGGACCATCAATGTCACATTGCAAAGTGGATGCAAAGTCAGGGAAGAATTGTTAGGTTTCTTTTTTCCATAATCTATCATACCATTAAAATGAAGATATTGGGAACACGTTCAGTTACAGGCATGCTTTGGAGAGAAGACTGGGCTGGAGGTAAGTGTGGGCTGATCAACAAGAGAATCTCTCCAAAGCCTTGATGTTGTCCAATAATTTAAAAACCAATGAAATAAGGAGAAAACAGAAAAGTGAAATAGATGCATCAGTGACGCAGAAGGAGACCAAGAAAGCTGTGTCCAAGGAATTAAATTTAGCATTGAAATCCACCAGAATGTGCATTTATTGTTTATGTTGTAGATAATGGCCTCTCTTATAATTAAACATCTTTGAAGTTATCTGACCAGTTTGGATTGGTGACTGTTTTCTCTCTAGCCCTAGGCGAAGAGAACAGCAGTAGCCCATGTGAATACCAAAATTCTTCCTGTATTAAGCTCATTAAAAGATCTAAATTTCCATTAATGTCCAGGGAAACGAGGCCAGAAATCGTCTGCAATGCTAATAGGAGCTATGAATTTAAATTTCCATTGAAGTAATAAGGCCAGGTGTTTTAAACACTGGCAAAACTCGGTGGTGAGGGCGACTGAAAGGCATTCGCTTCAGAACCATGTGGAAACGTGTAATACTTATTAAGCATCTTCTTGTGTGTAAAATCATTCTGGGTCCTCACAGATATGCAAAGTTGAGTGAAGCACTTGATCTTGTTTTTCAGATGAGTTGTCATTTAAATAAGGCACCATAGCCGAGATAATACATTTTATAAAATGCTAATGGGAAGGAAAAAGCGATATTGTTCACACAGGGACATGTCTGTGCAAAGCATGGAAAGATGTACTTAGCAACCGAGCACAGGAGAGAAGCCATAGGAAGGAAGAGAATAAGCAATAGGGGGCCGGAGCGAAATCTCTGCCAATTAGTAGTGTATGTAAACAAATCTCTTCGTCTAGTAGAAACCTCAGCTGCTGTGCATGGCTTTTATGATGTGCCAGGCACCGTTTAAAGTACATCCATATCAATTTACTTAGTCCTTGTAGCAACCAATAAGGTGGGAGACATTTTTTGTGCCTGTATCACATTCAACCGACCTACCTACCTGTTTCCAGTGCGCTCTGTCAGCTCCTCCCCACAAATGCATCCTATGGCGACTCTGTGCTTTTCTACCTTTCAGATTGTCCCTAAAGCCTGAGAAAACCAATCTGCTTACATGAGGATGCAGTTGGGGAGCAATCCTCAACCCATGGGGGACAGGAGTCGATGGATAAATGCCTTGGCTCTCCCGCTTTGGAGGGATCACTTTGAGATGCATTCGGTGTGGCTCCTTGGACAAGCCCCAGGGTGATGGATGGAGCTGTAGTTGTCCAGCATGGAAACTAGCTCACAGAGGCACCTTTCCTTGCCTTCTTCCCTTCCCGTTTCACTATCCTCCCTTCCTCACTCTGCTTTCTGTAATCCCCTCCCTGTAAACTCACTGCAACCAAATCCGTGTCTCGGGCACTTTTTGTGGAGAACCTGACCTAAGACAGGAACAAAGTGTTCCATACTTTTTCATATATATTTTAGTTTAGTTAAGAATGTATATACACACACACACTTCAGAAAGGATAAAAATCTAGATTTAACCTTGATTGTCCAAGTTAAGTAATACTGAAGCACTTGGAATTAAGGTTTTCATTATTTAATTGTTATAGATAAATGAAATATTTATAGTCAACTATGGAATTCTGCGATTCTAAAGTATAATTTCTTATGCAGAAAAGAAGGGAAGAAATATTTTCTGATAAGGATTTAAGACCTAGAACACTGAATATTCTGGACAAGAAAAGTTCTCTTATCCTCCTAGTTTAATCTCTGAGTGTTTTATTTCAACAGACAATGCATGGAAAAACCCTATTTTTTCAGTATTTTATAAAAAGTGTTCATTGTGTTCTCTGCCTCTTGGTTAAAGTCCTTCTTCCCAGGTGTATAGGGACTTAGATGACAATCGCAGCCCACATTTGGATAGTATTTTCCTGTTTAGCGTGCTTGTACATATGCAATTCCATTAACTGTTGGAACTGGATTCCACGAGCTACGTGGCATCATTTTACAGATGAGGAAACTCACTGCATTGATTGCATCTTGCCCAGGCTGGTGTACTTGGCATGTGGCGGAACCAGGTAATGAATCCACATCTTCTGGTATCCCAGGCATTACATGAAACATTAACCTGCGTATGCACATACAAAATAAGTAATTATAAACAAATAGGGAAATTTGTTTATGAATTTCCTCGGCATTGCCATTTATGAAACCTTTGACTGCAGTCAATGCTGAGGAGAGCAGTAAAGAATGAACTCTCTGGGTGAACTGTGTGGAAAGGAAATTGTTTAAATGTATTTATAAGTAGCTGCATCCCATTCATTGGCATCTTTTATTCTCAGCATTTCCAGAGCACATGTAGCTGCATGAAGAAGACTGACTGATAAAAGTCATAGAAAAGAATCATAGTGAAGTGCCAAGGAATCCAGTTAAAGACCCCTACAGCCATAGGCAACCGTTTAGCTCCTCCAATGGTGATTCCTACCACCTAAATGTCCTCAGTCTCTTGACCCTCAGTTTGTTGATTTTTAAAGTGGTATTGATAATCTAGTATCAAATAAGAATATAAACAAACTTACATTTAAACTGTAAAACAGTCCAATCATAAATGGCTGTATGGCCACCTTTTGCTAATTTCAAGCTGCTGGCTCTCAGCTCACTTGAAATGGGGAAGGTAAGAATCTGTGTAGGAGTAGTTAGCCATTTGCCTGATTATTTTTTTATTAAAAAAACTGACACTCTGTGCCTATTAAATGAAATAAAGCATAGGGAATATAGCAAATAATATTTGAATAACTGTGTGTGGTGTCAGATAGGCACTAGACCTATTGGGGTGATCACTTCCTAAGGTATATAAATGTCTAATCACTCCGTTGTTCACCTAAACATAATATAATATAGCATGTCAACTGTAATTGAAAAATAAATTTAAAAACAGTAACTCCTCATTTCTCCCTCCTAATGCCCCCGGCAACCACTGTTCTACTTTGCCTGTGCGTTTGACTCCTCTGAGCACCTTATGTAAGTGCAGTCACACAGTGTCTGTCGTTTTGTGACTCCTTTGTTTCATTCAGTATTATATCCTCGTGATTTGTTTACATTGTGGCATGTAACAGAAGTTCCTCCCTTTTTGAAGGCTGACTAACATTCCATTGTATGTATCCACTACATTTTGTTTATTCCTCAATCCATTGATGAGCACTGAGATTATTTAAACCTCTTGGCTATTGTGAGCAGTGCTGCTCTGAACATGGGTGAATAATTTTCTTTTTGATATCCTGCTTTCGTTTTTTTTTGGCATGAAGTGACGGATCATATGACCATGTGATCTATTTTAAATTTTAAATTTTTTGAGGAAATTCCGTGCTTTATTCCCACACTAGTTGCACCATAATTTTTTACTTTGGCCACTGATACACAAGAGTTGCAACTTCTTTGCATCCTCACCAATACTTGTTATTTCCTGGCTCTTAGTGTACTTTTTTATAGTAGCTAGTGATAGGTGTGAGGTGTATTTCACTGAAGTTTTGATTTGCATTTCCCTAATGATTAGTAATATTGAGCATCTTTTCATATGCTTGTTGGCCATTTGCATATCATCTTTGGAGAAATAACTATTCAAGTCCTTTGTGCACTTTTAAGAATATGGAATACTTCAGGAATTTATGTCATCCTTACACAGGAGCTGTGTTCATTTTCTCTGTACCTTTCCAGTTTTAGTATATGTCCTGCCAAAGCAGGCACGTATAGTTGTTGTTTCTTAATGAGAATTGTCAGTGTTTTATTAACATATTTTCCTCTTCTCCATAAACCATCCCCCATGATGCTCCTACACCCAATGTTTTTGTCCTTAAAAAATATGGAAGGGGATGTGTATTTATTCTTAAAACTTCTTACTTGCTCCTCTCAGATCGTCTCCTCTTTACATTGTGTGATCACTGGTAGTCTTTGTGTTTTTTGTTTTTGTTTCATTTTGTATTTGCTCACGATCCTAGATTTGTGGAAGAGAATACTTCCACGGTCTGGTTTGAGTCTGGTTTGAGTCACCTTAAACCACCTGAGCAAGGTGATGAGTGAGGAGCAATATTTCAACCTCGCATCTAAAGGGGACATAAATCTTGTTCTTTTCTAAAAAAATTTAATCAGAAGTTCTTAATTTTCTCACCATTGATGTTCCAATCATTTATGCTTGCACTGCAACCAACATAAATCATTAACACAAAAGAATAGTAAGCAACCTTTAATCAATATCACTTCCTTCTCCGTGACGCTGTGAGAATGAAAGAATACAATTTGTCATCGATCCTAAGGCTCACAAACATTTAGCCAGGCACTTGTATCTTTCCAGCACTTACCTTGCTCCAGCGACACTGGCCTTCTTTCCATTTTTAGGGCAAATCAAGTTTATTTCCTCCACTAAAACTTTGCACAGCTTGTTCTTCTCATCATTACATCATTTTTATTGAGGTCTTAGCTTAATACCCTCTCCTTGGAGAGGCCCTCCTGACCCTTAACCCAGTAGTGCTGTCTCCTGACGGTTACTTTCTACCATTGCATCCACTTTATTTGCTTCGCAGCACAAATCACTTCTGAAATTACGGTATTAATTATTTTCTTGTGTGTTTGCTTCTCGTCAGCCACCATCACCCCCCATTCAAATATATGTCCCATGACTGCTGAGGCCCGTTTCTCTGGCTGACCTCTATATCCTCAGTGCCCGAAACAGTGCCTATTAATAGCACATATTTAATAAACACTCATATACATTGAATGAATACACAGTGACGGTGTCAATCAAAGGTCAGCAAACTCTTTCTGTACAAGGCCATATGGTCTCTGTTGCAACTGCTGAACTCTTCCACTGTAATGCAAAAGCAATCAAGGACAATACAAAAGCAAATTAGCATGACTATGTTGCAATTATATTTTATTTACAGAAACAGAGGTTGGGCTGGATTTGGCCTGTGAACCGTGGTGTGCTAACTGCTGGAGTAGATCATTTGTTAACAATGTGGGTGTCAGGGCACACCAGGATGTTGATTCACATGCTGGTGTTTGCCAGGAAATGCGTTAGCAATAATAAAGAGCCAAAGATAAAACTGGATTTACTTCAAATATATAGGCAATAATTATGATACAGATTAAGAGAACATTCCATATTTTCTGTATATAATTAGGACTCCGGTTCTTTCAGAGGCTTCAGTGGGAAGAGAAATTTTGGCATTGAATATGATGTGTAAGTGAAAGATGGTTGAAACCACCTCTCATGGACAGCAATGGTTCTCACACTCATGTGCATCGGAATCGCCAGTCACAGCCTGACTGTACCCACAGGGTTCCGGACCCAGCTCACCTGGGGCAGTGCCTGAGAATTTGTGTTTCTGTGTACTTTCGGGTGATGCTGATGCCGGCGAGACAGAGGCTGGAAAGTGGAGAGAAAAAGCATGTTAAGATACGAGTGAGGGCATATAGGTGATAGTAGGGGTTATGAAAATGGTAAGTAGGATACAAACAAGAGGAAATTATCCAGAAGAGCAGTATAAATATGGGTTAAAGACCAATTGGGTATACAGATGAGGGAAAAGTAGGAACCATAAAGCTATAACAGTGTTACCTGGGGAAACTAGGTGAATAGCAATTCATTAAGGAATCTGCGCAAATAAGGGATGTGAGGAGGAGGTTTGAAGGAAAGATCATAAGTTCTTATTTGTAAATGCTGTGTTTGTGGTGCTTACATCCATCCGAGTGGGGTTGTTGAAGAGGCCTTTGGAAATATGGACAAAGCTCAGAAATGACTTCTGGGACCAAGACATATACTTTTGTTAGCAGTAAGGAAATGGATGGTCATTGAATGCACTGGAAAATGTGAAATAACGCTTAGTGGCTATGAGGGAGGAGAAGAGGAGAAAGTGTCAGGAATTCTCACCTGTGCCCGGCTAAGTACATTTTCTTCTTTAACAGAAGTACCAGACTGGTAGTCATATAGCTGCATTTGATTAAGCATGGCATTTGCCAATATACTTTTTGATATTATATTGGATAAAATGAGCTACTCACTTTGACAGTGTATGGTATTGTTAACACCTGGTTTTATGACTGTAGATAAGGGATATTGACACAAGAGCAAAACAAAGGGAAGGAGGATGACTGGGAGTGTAGCAGCAGCCTCTCCCCCCGCTGTGTCCCCATTGGTAGATCTGTCGGGATGGATAAATTAATGCTTTTGACATGAAACAGAAGGAAATGTGATGAACAAGAGAATACACATGCTGAGATGGAGTGAAAGGTTAGATCTTATCTTACCAGAAGAATTTTTAAAAAAGTAAATCTAGATTTTCATTTAAAAAATTATAAAAAGGAAGATGAAAAAGAAGGAAGACAGAATTGAAGAACATGGAACTGACATATCAATATTAAGATAGGAGACATCAACTCAAATGTTTCTATAACCTCCTGAAATGTAGATGGACCAAATCTTCCAATTAAAAGGCAGAGGACTTCAGACTGCATCAAAATAAAAATCAAGGCCAAAACCCTGTGCTGTCTATGTGATGGGATGAAAACAAACCGACAAACAGAAAATATGGTATGCACACAATGACAATAAGAAAACGTATCAGACAAAGTAGACTTGAGGACCAGAGTTATTATCTAAAATAAAGTGGGCATTCTATGGTGCTAAAAACAACCCTTCACCAGGAAGATGCGCTAATATTAAACATAAACATACCTAATAGGAGAGTTTCAAAATGCATATAGCAAAAAAGGATCGGTTCAAAGAGAGAAATAGAAAAATCTTCAATTAATCTTGTTGATTTTCACTTTTTTCTTTCAATCATTAGCGGAACAACTAGGCAAACAATTCAGTAAATATATATTAGACTTAAACAACAGTCAGCTGAAGCTGGTTGATATTTAGAGACTTTTCTTCTTAAGGATCGAAAGCCACAGGCTTTTGGAAGAAAGGCAACGGACCTCCGAGAGGTTCTTCCACGTTTCTGACTTTCAGAAATGTGTATCAGAAATGGCTTTTGGGGTAAATGTCCTTTTGGGGGCCTGTGCACCTTTTGTAGCCCCCTTCCTGCTGAGGCCTATGTTCAGACTTACCAAAAAAAAAATAATAGAATTTTTAGATGAGGCTAGCGTCCTCTGGCACCTTAATTTCTTCAAAACCTTGTTAGTTTTATGACTTATTTACTTCTAGTTAGTTTCATGTCTGGGTAGCCACATACAAAGTTCTTTTTGAAACCATTCTCTGACACTCATATTTCCTTGTTTGCTGGTTTCTTCACATATCCCAACGAAACTTGACTACCTTGAGTAAATGAAGCCTACACAGGAAACAATCCAAACCTAATCACTTTATTGAGATTTTTCATCATGTTTTTGTGGGGGAAAAAACACTTAAAAAATTTCATCTGATATTTAGGATCTAGAATCTGCCAATTTTTCCAATATCGCAGGTCTTATATAGGTGGTCTCTCTTTATCCTTATATCTCTGCTCCTACACTGTTTTCCTCATTTTGTCGTTGCTGAACAGACACAGTGACAATCAACACATATTAAAATAACCTTTTTCAACCTCTTTCTCCAGCTTAGTATCATTTGTTCAGTCTTACAAACTACTGTGGACAAGAGGTTTATTGAATATTTTGCATTTAAATGACATGGATAAAGAGCTACAGAGATGGCTGTATGTATTGTCTTGTCATCTTCCACTCAGTCACTGGGCCAGTGCTGCACATTGGAAAATTTTTTGCAATGTCATTCCAGTTTCAGTATTGATTCAATGTTAATAACAGTAAGGCTGGCTGCTGAAACAATACAGGATCTCAGTGGCTTTAAATAATTAGGCTACTTAGCGTACAGGCATGTGTGTGCATGCACCAGCCCAGACACATAGCGGGGAAGGAGGCCATAGAGGGAAGGAGTGGGAGAAGGAGGACTGATGCTCCGACCTGTGCTGGTGCCTTTAGGAAGATGGGTTTTAGAGGGCTGATCAAAGCTAAAAACTGGATCCAGCTGCTACTTGAACTCTGAACTGCTGCTGCCAGCTTGAAGAGCCATTGCCGATGAGCTGCTTACAGGAGCCATACGCCAACCAAGAAGGTGCTGATCACTGCTTCTTCTGTCTCCTGCCCTTCCAGGCACAAGCAGCAGGAAGCCAGCTTACGATGAGAAATGTGACTATAGCTTCCCAAACTCAGCTTTAGAAATGACTCTAGGGGAGGGGTGGATTTTGAGTTGAGCAACAACAACTTACTTAGAGGTGCAATGTTGCCTGACTTATTAATTGTACAGGTATGCTTGCATCTTACCCAAGTTCTGGTAACTGAGAGCTAATAATACCAACTCATAAAATTATACACAGCATTGTCATTGAGAGATTAATGATTTCTCAAATCAAATTCCATGAGTCTGGTCTCTGACTGGTAAGATGGTTAGGACTCTGGTTACACCGGGAGGAAGGTGTGGCTTTGCCTTTGCCAGCACATGCCTTACCCAGCCCTGTCTACAGCCACTGGGGTGGATTTCACAACAGGGTCCCTGACTCTGCCGTTGTTTGTTTTTTCCCCACTGAAAACCCTTGGCTTGGAAAACCGAACACATGTAATTAATGATGTCATCCAAAGTAGCATCTTCCACTGTGTGACTTGAAATCTGCTCATCGCACGAGTTGGTTTTGTCCAAATGTCCAATTTCTAGTTCCCTCTCAACCACGGAGTTGCTCAGGGAAGTTC